TCAAAAGGGAGTTTTAGTTACTTTAATTTCCTATCCATAGTTGTTTAGCAATTCCTAGGTCTTAGGATAGTTATTCTGATTATTGGAAAATTTTTATTGTTTTAATCTGATTATATTTGGAGATTATTGTGACTGGATTATTGTTTTAGCATTTGACATTGAGCGTTTATAGCTTTAATTTCAATTATAATGTTGTGGTTATGACATTTGTATTGATTTTGGAGTTAATACATTGTGATTTTTAAGGTGGCTTGGAATCTTGGATATTTGTCTCTTGCTAACTTTAATCTGTTGTGTTTTGGATTTAAGAGTTCTGACTAAGTATTGCTTTTTAGCATCCTTATCCCATTTTATTATTCTAGTTGCAGTCAGTAAGTTTGTGATTTTAGGAAAATATTTTGTGGCAATTTGAGGTGGCTCGGTTGTTGGATTAAAAGCTTAATTATAATTCTTAATTCATTGTTTTAACTCTCGTATCTTTTGTAGTGAGGATTTTCCCTGCGTTGTTGAATTAGAGATTGATTGTTTCATTGTTATTTGTTGTTTCATTTTCATTTCTGTAATCTTCATTCATTTTAATCATTTTATATAAAAACAAAAAAAAGTATTTTAATTTCAATTTAATTTCAGGGTGTTTACTTAGAATATCATCAAATCAAAAATCTTTTTTTATAGTTAGATTACTTGCATTTATTTGCTAGGATTTAATTTTGTTTTCGGCTCCTCAAAGTGAATACGACCCGGATTGTGCATTATATTACATTAATTCGGTTAATTTTTGGAGTAACCCCAAAGCGACAAATTAAGGGCAATTATTTCAAGGAGGTTATCCTAAAAATTTTAAAGAATGATGATGAGAAAATGGGAAGGAGAGAATACTATGAAAGAAAACTTCCAAAAGCAATAATATTTTTGGAAGTTTTTCCTCTTGATAGTTCTCTCCATTCTATTTTTCTCCCCATCCAAACGAAGTTTACATGTGTAATTCTGAGGATTTCTCTCAATTTACACATATTTACTGAAATTTTAAATTGTTTATATCTAAATTTTAGTGATACTACAAATTAATTTATATTTTTGTAAACTAATGAACATGATAACAATAATTAATAATAACAATGACCAAGATCCAAGAAGTGGAAACTGGTAGTTGAGAGCTCAGGATATAAATATGGGGTACTGGCCAGCTTCTATGCTCAATCATGTCGGTCAAAGAGTGCAACAATAGTACGGTGGGGAAGTGAAATACTCCTCTGGTCCTTAATATAAAACCTATTTAACTAATGTGGTTAACAAAGGAAGCTAGGTAAGTTAGTTGATTATAAGAAATATGATATGTTTTTCCAAAACATCATAATCATTTTTCTTAATATCCTTCCTTTCTCACTTACTTGATTATGGTTGAGAGAGTATCCATAGGGATACTTCAGGAAAAATTGATAAATATGAGAAATAAATCTTATATTTAGGACCAAAATTAACTTAACAATTAGGTCCTATATTAAGGATCGGAGGAGTATTAAACAGGAAATCTAAGGGGAGACACACCACAATAGAAATGGAAAGTGGTTATTTCTCCAAGGCAGGTTATGGGAAGGCTGGCTATTTTGAACAACTTTCCACTGTTAATGAGAACAATACTCTAGTCACTCCTGATAACTTTAAGGTTTTTGCTAGCAAACCCATTGACCCTAAACCTGTCATTAACGGTGATGTTTGCTTCTCCTACGGTGGCCCCGGAAGAAACTCAAATTGCCTAATTTAAACATGAGGGACTTTGAAAAGTCTAAATCCATCCATCTATGTCAAGGAAATAAGGGAGTTCCATTGGCTTGCATGGATTGAACTCCGTAGCCTAATCACTAGTACTATATATAGTTAAGACCTCATCCATGGGATGGATATTATATCCAAGGCCTCGTATATAGGCTCATAGAATAAGATTGGCCGGAGATACAATTTTAATAACGCTATGTATGTAGTGTTTGGTGTGACATTGTATCATATCATTGTTCGCCGAATAGCTTAACCGCAAGCGGACGGGTCACAAGTAATATAAAAAGTATAGTTCCCTCAGAGACTAAGGCACGATGAGTTAAAAATCATATATAATTGTGTTTTTGATTAGGTTAGGTGAAGCAAAAGTTGTAATAGAGTTGTGAAATGAGATTAGGAAAAAAAAGATTTAAATCAAAGTGAATTCAACTTGACTTTGAGACAAATAAGGGTCTAGTAGGGTTATTTTTCACTAATATACTTCTTAAAACTTGATTAATCACTTCTCAAATAGTAGTTAACAATAAGTTCAGTTAGCCCAGGGTTCACAGAATTGATTAAACTTTCTTAAGTCAAAACCAAATTTTGCAATCTCAATAAAACATAGCAATCTCTTACATTTGTTTGAAAAGGTTGCACTTTGAAAACCAAAACCCCTTTTTAGGCTATGCTAGATCAATAGATATATCTCTATTCTATCAACAAGCCTTCCATTTAATAAGATAAATTTCCAGTCTAGCATGTTTTTACCAAAGTTCAAAGATTAATTTAATTTTCTCAAGCTTCAACCAATCAACTAATCAATCCAAATGATGGCCCGTCACAAGGAAGCAATAAGCTCAAGGTAAAAACAACAAAACATTATCATTAACACTAAAGAGAGAGTTAAAACAAGTCTTAATTCATACAATAGATCAAAATAACCCTAAGATGACTATTCTAGCTACACATGTTTAGCAAAGAGCCACAACTATAAAGATAGTTCCTAGCCATTACAGAAACAAAGGAGAGGAGAAGAAGAAAACCAAGAAAACAAATGAGGAAGAAGCTTTCAATCTCTTGTAACTTTGAGCCTAATGTTCCCAAGCTTTAAAACCTCCAAACCCTAGTAGAGCAAGCCTCTAAATGAACCCCAAGGTCGAAGTATATCCAAAAATCACTAGTCCCCCTATGTATATGCCCTGATTTTTAAGTTATAGTGCAAAATGCACAATTGCGAGGGGTCAGACGCCGTGATGGACCCAGTCATCAGCCTGGCGGATTACACAGAATGGGACTTTGGGTGAAAGGTTGGGCGCTGCGGTGGATATGGTCAGGAGCCACAGCTCCTTACACCGAATAGCATCTTCTTTAGACAGCTTGGGCACCGCAGCGGATGGGGACAGGCGCCGCGGCGGATCACACCGAATGCCTTCAATCTTCTCTGTTGGAACCACTGTGGCAGTTGTCTTCATGCGCCGCGGCAGTTGGTTTCCTTTTTGTTTTTCTGCTTCCGGTCCCTCTTCATTGCTCACTCTGGGTCTTTGGTCTACCCTGATCGCCCAGACTCGATTGAATCCTTCTCCTTGTAATCATCTTTCAGCTCTTGCACTTTCCTACACAAAGAATAGCCTTGCACCAATAATCTCCCAATGGTTAGCCTAAATCAAAGTTCACTTTGACAAATTATGTTTTCTAACTTTAAGAAGAAAATCCTGCACAATTAACTTCCAAAATCCATTAAAGAGTGCTAAAACAAGTTGAATTAGTAGGAATTTCAAGAGGTTATCAATCATGTACAATATAATGTTATCTGGTGTTTGACGATGTATGTCGTGTGCTTCAATTTGTCGTGGAAGGGATAAAATGTATTTCTTTTTTGGGGATGACATCACCTTTAGTTTATAAAATTTGACTTTGTTTTAGTTACGGTCTATGAAATGGGAAACTAGTGGTTTTAAGGTTTTAGGGACTTAAAACAATGTTTTAGGAACGTAACTAAAAATCTTTAGATGGATCAAAACGAGGTTGAATTTCAGGGGAACTAAAACCAAAACAAGATCTAATTTTATATACTAAAGATGATATTAACCCTTACGTACTCTTTATATAAATACAATACTCCCTATGCTAAAAAAAAAAGGACATGTTGACGACTTCTTAAAATTAATGAAATTTGTTAAAATTTGTTAAATATAAAATTTTCTTAAACTTCTCAAAATTACCTTGATCAAGTTGAAGTTATTATTTAAGAGTGAAAGAGTGAATCAGAGAATAACATTTTTTTAAATGAGTGAGAAATGTTTTATTAAATTTTGAAACATTTCTGAAATATAATAGTTGTCGCCACTCAACATTAAAAAAATTGAGAAAATTGTTTAAAAGGATCAGCTCGGCAAATTTATTGTATAAAAGGACCTGAAAATCATTTCAATGATCAATAATATCCTTTAGGGCAGATAGATATGAGGAGGAAATGATGAAATTGTCATTAAATGAAAAAAATTTCAGAATATGATCACAAGTTTTCCTGAAAACATAGAACTTTTGCAAATAGTGAAACAATGTTTCCAGAAATCATGTTAATAGAAGAAAATTTTAAGAACACTGGAGAAGCATACATACTATTGAAGAAGACTTACATAAAAGACAAGTTGGAAACACGATTCCTTTAGTGGTCATGGAAGAAAAATACATACAATTGAAGAAACATGCGTAGAGAAAGAAAGATTACACAAAGGGGAAGACAGTTTGTTACATACATTGTTATATATCTCATTTTTTTTCTTTTACGAAAGCCAACACTATGTATGGTTGCCGCGTGCATGGATATCACAGATTTAAACATTAAAAAGTGTCTTTATTTTGGTTATCGTTGTTAATTACCAGGTTCATTTCCCGGGGAAAATCTTGTCATAAAAAGGACAATAAAATTAAATAACTTCACAATGTACTAGGACAAATCAGCCTATAAATTAGTGTCATCAGGTCTTGTATATCCCCTTGAGAAATTTGACAAACGGTTCTTGCTTGATATATATTTGTCACCAACAATGGCAGACAAATTAGGAAACGAAAATACCAGCTGGGTAGAGAAGGTGTTCTTCTTCTTCTTGTTTTTGTTTTCTGTGCGGATGGTAATAGCAGATCAAGACACAGTTATCAGTCATAGTCATAAACTTGAGGTTGATAAACTTTTGAAGAAGTTGAATAAACTAGCTGCTAAGTCCATTAAGGTATGTAATTCATCTCCTGGTTTCTCATTCCCGTTATGTTTGAAACAGTGAAGAAAATTATTGGTAAGTTTTAGTATTTATGGTAGTTTATGTCAACAATTTGTTTTTCTTAATCCAGAGTCCTGATGAAGATATTATCGATTGTGTCTCTATTCTAAGTCAGCCAGCTTTTAATCATCCGAAACTCAAAAATCACAAGATTAAGGTGAAACACTTTGCTTGATTGCTTCATATAGATATGTATAACTTTAAACTCCTGATAAAAAAAACTCAATCCGATAGATGATTTCATGTTTGAATGAAGATGAGGCCCAATTTTCAACCACAAGATAATATACTTGAAGTGAGTGATGAAATATCTTCAAAATCAAAGCCAATCGTTCAGCTATGGCACCAAAGTGGAAGTTGTCCAGAGGGTACTATTCCGATAAGAAGAACAAGAGAAGAGGACATACTGAGAGCAAGCTCCATGCAACAATTCGGGAAGAAGAATCTCAAGAACGTCGTACTACCCTTAACCCCAAATGTTGGAGGTCAAGGGGGATACGAGGTACGTACTTGTATTGTCCCTACACACACACACAACCCAAAATGAGAGAGGCTTTAGATTTTGTGTTTCGTTTTGCTTTGTTTGATGTATTTTTCTTGTTTCTTTGATGCTTTTGGAGTTTCCAGTATGCCTCAGTATTTATTAAAGGAGATAAATATTATGGAGGCAAGGGAGCCATGAACGTTTGGAATCCTAATGTTGAACAATCCCAAGAATATAGTCTCTCTGCAACTTGGGTTGGAAGTGGTTCTGATCCTGAAAATATCGAAGTTATTGAAGCTGGTTGGCAGGTATTCTTTATATTTTTAAACTGAAGATTGAACAAAAATAATTAAATTAATAATAAGAAAATACTGACATATAAAATAAAACATTTTTTTGGCTTCTCATGCTTTTGTATACTTGAATATCTGTTGAAGTTATTATGCACTAATCTATCTAGTTAATTGTCGATTTTTGATTTGGATATTTAGGTGAATCCACAGCTATATGGGGATAATCACACCAGGCTTTTCATAACAGCCCTACATGTTTGATTTGTTAGTTCAGATATTTTTCTTAGTCCTTAGAAATTTCTCTCATTTACCTCTGTATATATGACAGAGTGATTCAAGTAAGAACACGGGATGCTATGATCTTCTTTGTTCTGGCTTTGTTCAAGTTTACTCTGCAGTAGCTTTGGGAAGCAGCATCATGCCCTTATCCCTATACAATGACACTAATTCCCAGTATCAAATCACCATTACCATCTGGAAGGTATATCATTTTACATAATGCCAATTATTAATTATTTGTATTAAATAGGAAGCAAGTAATTTTGATATACTCCTCTTGAAAGTCAAGATAAAAAGATACTCCATCCATTCCCTAATGTGTATAAGAGCTGGTTGGAGATTGAATTTGATTCTAAATACAAGACCTCAATTTATTTTGTTTCTCATATTTATTATTTTTCTACAAGCTAATTTACTTATAAACTGATATAGTGATATAGTGTTTCACAAGGGTATTTTATGGAGATCATGTCATATTTGCTATAATTAATTAATTAATCCAACTTTCTTAATATACTCAAATTAGTCAAATAACTCGTATATCAAGGACTAAATGGAATATTATTTTTCCTCAGAATTTTGTAAAATGCCTCACATATTGAAATGTAGAACTTTTCAGAAAGTGCCTTGTATTTGAAACAGAGATAGTAATTAATAATTGTGATAATTAATGAACAGGATAAAGGCGATGGAGACTGGTGGATGCGATATGGCACTGATCAAATTGTGGGATATTGGCCTTCCTCTTTGGTCTCAAGTCTATCAGACAGTGCAACAGTGATAGAGTGGGGAGGTGAAGTAGGAAACTCAGGAACTAATGGACAACACACAACAACACAAATGGGAAGTGGGCATTTTTCAGGGAAAAGCTAGTTATTTCAAGGATATTAAATTTGTTAATGGTAACAACCAAATGGTGACTTCTAATAACGTTGTGTCTTACGCTGACCGTTCCAATTGCTACAATGTACTCCAACCTGGCTATTCTGATAATGTTTGGGGTAGCCACTTCTATTATGGTGGTCCAGGGAGAAACCCTAATTGCCTAGGATCATCTTAACTTCAATATTGAGATATTTTGACAGATCGAACAAGATGTTGTTATACTCCTCTAGTCTTTGATATAAAACATATTTAACTAGTTTGATTAGATTAAGGAAGTTAAGGTAAATTAGTTAATTATAAAGAATATGACATATTTTTTCTAAAATACCATAATTATCTTCCTTAATATCCTCTCCCCTTTTCTACTTCATTATAGTTGAGGGAGTATTCATAGGGGTAATGAAGGAAAATTGATAAATAAGAGAAATAGGTCTTATATTTAGGACCAAAATCAATTCAATAATTAGGTCATATATTAAGGACCAGAGGTAGGGATTGTTGTTGAGTTGTTGAGCTGTTTTGGGGAAAAAAAAAATTTTGCTGTGGAAGCTCACGCTGAATCCTCTCCTTCAAGCGGCTGGTTTGTTTTTTTTATTCGTTTTCCGCCGCTAGCTCGTGTGTTCGTCTCGTCGCGTGTGTGTTTCCTCTCTCGCCTCCCTCCTTGCGTCCCGCCTATTGAAGATGATTATAATAGGTTATTAGTGGGGGGAGCAAAACGCAACGTTTTGCTCCCTTTTTTTTTTAAATTATTTTTTTATTTTTTATTTCTTTTCTTTTCTTTTTATTTCTTTTTTTCTTTTTTCTTTTTTTATTTTTTATTTTTCAAAATCTTCCAAAAACCTGCAAGCAAAAATTCAAAAATAAGGTAGCATTAATTGTCCTCAAAAATCAATTAGTCACAATTAAACTAAAATATGACAATTTTGCCCCTATAAAATAATAATTCAAAATAAAATAAATTAAATCAATTAAGGCAAAAAAAGGACCAATTAAGCTGACAAAACTCATAAAAGATACCAAAATATATAAAAATAATTGAGTTTGTCAGAGTACTATGTTTGAATATAAATTTAGTATGTATTGTTGGTGATGAATGGTGATGGCAACGTTGTGAACTCATGCGTTGTCTCAGTTACAGAGTATTTTTCACCCAATATTAATCTCCGAAAAAAGGTTAGAACGCTAGGAAAAGTTAGAATTAGGGTACGTTTGGATAAAATATATTTTGTGCAATTTTTTTAGTATTAAAAAAAATTCAAATTGTTGAATCTGTCTAGAATTTTTAGTTTAAAACGTTAAAAAAAAAAAACAACATTGGATAAGTAATCAATTAATATAGATATTTTTTTCCTTCCCCCCCATCATGGCTATTTTTTTCTTCTTTTAGCAAAGGTAAGAAAAAAGTCTAAATTTTTCATTTTCAAGTTATACTAATAAGAGAAAGCAATCGTAGAATTCAAAAGGCGGTCAATTATTAGGCATTGGATCTCAGGTTAAGAGCCCTGTCCACTCATCATTATTTGGTACGCAAGAACCAATATCTGTAACATAAAAATTTAAATCTCTAAAAGCTTCAATCATAAATAGTATGACTCATTTTTAAATTTCTGCATTATATTGATCCACACTAGTTGAAAGGCTAACATATTAAGAAACATAATTAAGAGTGAAAAAGGGAATATATTAAAAATTATACATGTATTTCTTTTTTTCCGGGAAATAAGAAACATGGGCCCATATTATACCAAGCAGGGTAAATGAATCTTATAGATTACACCATTAATATTTTTCTTTGTCTGTCTTGTTGCCATTGTTACATCCGGATTCAATTTATCAGGTTAATCTTGCCACAAGATCAGGCACAACAAAATCATATCAGATTCTTATAGTACAAATCATCCCATAAATTTCCGTAACATCAAGTTTTGAACATCCACTTGAGCATTTTCATATAGTCGATTGTTTCGTATCTCTCATCTTCAATGGCAGCAAAAATAGGAAATGGCAAGACTTGGCCGGCCAATGTGGTGTTGTGCTTCTTCTTGTTGTCTGTGCACATGAACGAAGGTCAAGACACAGTCAACAATGGCCAGGAAGCTACTTCTAGTCAGAAGCTTGAGGTTGATAAGCTTTTGAGGAAATTGAATAAACCAGCCCTCAAGTCTATAAAGGTATATATAGACAGTATATTCATCTTCACGTTTTTTTATCAGCAGGTTATTTTTCCTTGTTTTACTGAAAATTTGAAAATTATTTGAGGATTTTAAAATCTATGATCCTTTGTGTTGAAAATATATAATATTTGCTAAAACCAGAGTCCTGATGGAGACATAATCGACTGCGTCTCAATCCTGAATCAACCAGCTTTTGATCACCCGAAACTCAAAAATCACAAAATTAAGGTGAACCAGATTACTTTATTGAGATTCCTCCAACCCTTAATTTCGCTTCTTATTAATCTGAATATTCTGAAGCCGACTCATCATTTTTGATTTGATTGAAGATGAGGCGAACTTTCCGACCTGAAGTAAAGATAGAAAGCAAAATGTCTTCAAAGTCAAAGCCAATTGTTCAGCCATGGCACCGAGTTGGAAGTTGCCCAAATAGAAACATTCCTATAAGAAGAACAAGAAAGGAGGACATCCTGAGGGCAAGCTCGATCCAACAATTCGGGAAGAAGAATCTCAAAACTGTCCTTCTTCGTTCATATGTTGCCGGTCAAGGTGGCCATGAGGTACTTATGTTGTCCCTCACTCTACCTATATAAACAAGCTTTTAACGTTTTATTTAGCTTATCAATATATATATATATATATATAGAGAGAGAGAGAGAGAGAGAGCCCAAATCCACATATCTACGAAATTTGGTGTAAGTGACCGACAAAATTTGCTTTAGTTGGTAATTAAGAATTTGCCTTATATCACACGGATATATCATGTATGTGCGAGTATTCTTTGAGCTCACACTGTAGAATTGTGGGACCCACCGCTAAACTTTTTTCCTCTATCTTTCTCTAATTTCACTCTTTAGATGGTTTTGGAGGATAAAGTATGCTTCAGTTTTTGTGAAAGGAGAAAAATATTATGGAGGGAAAGCAACTATGAGCGTGTGGCAGCCTACTGTTCAAAAGGATGAGTATAGTATCTCTCAAATTTGGGTTATAAGTGATGCTGACAGTAAAAATCTTAACACGATTGAAGCTGGCTGGCAGGTACATATTCTGTAATTCTTTCGCACAACAAAAATGTAAAATAATTCGTAATGAAAAAAAAAATATAAAACTCGCTTTTGACTTTCTCGTGCTTATTTAAGTGCGTGTGCGTGTAGATATGTGTGTGTGTGTGTGTGTGTGTGATGAAGATTCATTCATATTATTTATTATACAATCCCAAGATTACACCAAGGCATGTAGCAATAATATTTTCAAATAACATTTTCAAAATTTTCATTTGACTCCGTTATTTATTCTTGATCTCTATATTTTATCTAACAAAAACTTTAAATATTCCGAAGTATCAGCATTAGCACGACCAAATTCAAAAGTTAATTACTTAAAAGCCCTCAAATTTATCATTCACATTACACAAATTTACAGGTCAAATTAGGATTATTTAACATTTATATAACCTGAATTTAAAACTAGAAAGATATTTAATACCATTTACAACTTAAACAATTAATAAAAATTGACAAGTGTGACAATGAGTTCTTATCATTAGAAATAAAAGATTCGTGAAGTCGGTCCTTTAGAATAATTCTTGCTATTTATTAATGTTACTTCCTATCGATCTCATTCTCTATTTCGCTATTGGCCAATTAGGTGCACCCACAACTATATGGGGATAACGCGACCAGACTGTTCACCTACTGGACTGTGAGCTCAAGGTCCTTAGCAATCACACGCGCGCGCACATTCTTGCAATCATTTTCTTTTTGTCATTTTGATTCTCAATTTTTTTTAATATGTGACACTGACAGAGTGATTCATATAAAAGCACCGGATGTTATGACATTCTTTGTTCTGGGTTTGTTCAACTTGATGCTGGAATAGCTGTGGGAAGTCGCATCACACCATTATCTGTCTATGGTGACGCTAATTCCCAATATGGTATCACCATCATGATCTGGAAGGTACTTTTTAGTGATCAGATTACTTAATTGGGACAGCACTATGATTTTTCAAAGTAATATAACTCAGTCTTTTTGGTAAACGGTAGCTAAACCACTATTTATACTTGTAGATCATCAAATCAGCATGTGTGACATCAGCATGTGTGAGATGTCTTGTTTTGTTTGAAAATTGAGATGCAATATGGTGAAGATAAAGTCATGGGATATTGGCCTTCGTCTTTGTTCTCACACTTATCTGATAGTTCAACAGCGATACAGTTGGGAGGTGAAGTAGTAAACTCAGAATCAGAAGGCCAGCACAGCACAACGCAAATGGGAAGTGGCCATTTTCCTTCAGAAGGTCAAGGGAAGGCTGGCTACTTCATCAACATAAAGTATATTAATGGCCAAAACCAACTCTTGCCTGCTGGTAACTTGGTCCCTTACGTTGATCATCCCAATTGCTATGATCTCCGAACTGATCATAATGATGATTGGGGCAACTTCTTCTTTTATGGCGGACCTGGAAGAAACCCTAATTGCCCATGATCGATCCCTTTGTCCTCAATTAATATTATCTTGTATGTTTATATTAGTATGTTATCTTTCCTCCACTACAATTCTAAAATAAGGATGGATGAGAAAACAGACAAATGCGTCTTGAATATGTTTTCATTTGAACTTTCTAAAAGCTGAACTTTATAAGAGCTTTGTAACATACTACCTCCGATTCTTAATATAAGACCTCATTTGATTTTTATTTTGGTTCTAAATATAAAACTCCAATCTAATTTGTCTCTCATATTTATCTATTTTTTCTTAATATAGTCTTCTAATAATAGTAGTTCTAACTAATAAACTTGATTAGTAAGGATAT